ATGATCGATACTTGATTTGTGAGGAGAATCGACAAAATTACATAAACATTTCTTATGCTTAGCGACAGGCTCTATTTATGGCACCGTGATTCATGGAAAAAATAGATTAATTTGAATATTTAAATAGGCACTCGACAGTCAGGAAGTTCTGGTTTTTTTGACATTCTTCCTGTATATGCAATAAAGTTAGACTTCTAGATAAGTCTAGATTGCTAAAGTTATTGCTATGAGCAGCACAATTACTTAGATAATTGACATAATTTCAACATAATAATTGATACAAAGCCCTTGATCGATTTCTTGAGAACTTCTGGTCGGTTCCACCTCAAAAACAAACATTTCATTGAATCGAAAATTTGAAAGTTGATTTTAGAAGTCATAAACAAAAGTGGACGCCTTTCAATTTATATCACAGACATAACAGAGTAAAATAAAAGGCACAATTTAATGTCCACAATTCTTTGCTTTTAAGAGGCAGCAACAGCTGAGATAAATCGTGGAAATTATCACATAGCTAAGTAAAGTAATGAATTGTGTTTATAATTAAATTGGCGTCAGTGAAATATTTCGTAAGAGGTTATTGGGTAGGAATTATGAAATCTTATGAGGCTGATTCATGATTAGCTCATATTCAGTCGATATCATCTCAAGATGGAATCTGATTTGGAGAGTAAGCATTTATTTGGAAGGATATTTGAGAATTAGACTTTCGATAATTTTTTAATCAGAAACAGTTGAGATTATCCTTGATTTGACTATAAAGGTTATATGAAAAACTTGAAGATCAAGCTTGCGGCTGATGATGTCTTGAGTCTTGAAGATCAAAATTGATGGATTTTTAATTCGATTTTTATGTCTGCTTAATCTTCAGTGACTTAATATTGTATTTTATGCCTAATATCAACAACTAAGTTTGCTGTTTATTGATTCTTTGAAGATATGTCCTGGATAGTAGCAGCTTTATAGATTTTTTAAGCATTTTTAATGATTTTTAACATTAATAAGCGACACATGCATAACAAGTGACCCCAAACCTCTTCCTGTCATTACTGGCAATAGATAATTTGCGTTTTAATATCACTATTGACTGAACAACGTCTTATCGTCGTAATCGACTCAGATGTTGCGCAAATTTGCATGAAAACTCAAAGTTGAGATACTTAAGGAACACAAAGCATTTCAAAGGAACCAGCTTGAATTCTGAAACCCGAGTGGCTCTCAAATAAGTGCCATATGAAGACTTGTATCGTGCAAAACAGTTAAACTTACCCGAATAGCACAATTCGGTTATTCGAATATAAATCTAGCGACAAGCCCGAACATACAAAGAGCATGCTCAGAAAAGTGAGCATATAAGTGAGTCTACTCAAAAAATGTACTCATGCAAGCTCATTCAACTGAGCATGCTCATGAGAATATTATGAATGTGCTCACTTAAATTTTTTATAAAAACTTTATAAGCTCACGTGAGTGCATTCAATAAGTATACTCTTGAGAATATTAAGAACATACTCATGTGAATTCACTCATATGAGTGCACTTACTGAATGTACTCATGAGCATATAATGAGCAAGCTCACTTCTGTGTCACACAATTTTTTTTATATTCTCATATGAGTGCACTTACTGATTGTACTCATGAGCATATAATGAGCAAGCTCACTTCTGTGTCACACAATTTTTTTTATATTCTCATATGAGTGCACTTACTGATTGTACTCATGAGCATATAATGAGCAAGCTCACTTCTGTGTCACACAATTTTTTTTATATTCTCATATGAGTGCACTTACTGATTGTACTCATGAGCATATAATGAGCAAGCTCACTTCTGTGTCACACAATTTTTTTTATATTCTCATATGAGTGCACTTACTGATTGTACTCATGAGCATATAATGAGCAAGCTCACTTCTGTGTCACACAATTTTTTTTATATTCTCATATGAGTGCACTTACTGAATGTACTCATGAGCATATAATGAGCAAGCTCACTTCTGTGTCACACAATTTTTTTTATATTCTTATATGAGTGCACTTACTGAGTTTATTCAAGAGCAAATTGTGTACGTTTTCGATTTAGCCGACATTTTTTTAAAAAAACGTCAGCTACCTTAAAAAATCATTATTTGAGATTTTTTAAAAAAATGTCAGCTAAATCGAAAACGTTAAAAAAATGATTTTTTAAGGAAGCTGACGTTTTTAAAAAAATGTCAGCTAAATCGAAAACGTTAAAAAAATGATTTTTTAAGGAAGCTGACGTTTTTAAAAAAATGTCAGCTAAATCGAAAACGTTAAAAAAATGATTTTTTAAGGAAGCTGACGTTTTTAAAAAAATGTCAGCTAAATCGAAAACGTTAAAAAAATGATTTTTTAAGGAAGCTGACGTTTTTAAAAAATGTCAGCTAAATCGAAAACGTTAAAATAATGATTTTTTAAGGAAGCTGACGTTTTTAAAAAAATGTCAGCTAAATCGAAAACGTTAAAATTGGCGCTCAATAAGATTCAAACTTCAAAGAACTTAGTTCGCCTGTAAAAATATAATAATTTAAGTATGTGTTATGCCATATATAAATTATTATATATTTACAGACAATAGCTCCAAGGAAAAGTGTGAGATGACAGAAGTTAAGCAACGCAGAAGATATTTCAACAAAGATGGGTGACCAGATTTATATGTTTCCGTCTAAGTATTTGGGATAAAATATTAATAATAATTTCAAACTCTTTCAAAATTATTCACAGAAATTCAAAGAAATAAACGGAACAGTACTTGATTTCAGCTAACCTATAATATTCAAATTTAGCTTAATTAATTTTTTGAACTTTGCAACTTCACTTGAGTGCACTCATGAGTGTGCTCAGATGAGCATATACTCATATATATACTCACTGAGCATATATCTTTTGAGTATCTTCATGAGTATAAGCTCTTTGAGAATATTTATGAGTATATGCTCTCTGAGAATGTACATGAGTATATTCAATAAAAATGTTACATGAGAAAAATGTTGCATGTGACATGTTACCTTCTCATTTGAGTATGCTCATGAGTTTACTCAATGATCTTATTACATGTCACATAGGAATGTGCTCACTGAGCATGCTCAAGAAGGTACCGTAAGCGCATCACTGAAATGTATGAAAATGAGCACATTCTCACAAAGGCTAATAGGCTCACAAATAATGTGCTCTGAGCATGCTCATTGTATGTTCGGGAAGCCGGCATGACTCTAGCATGGTGCTGACTTCAATTTATATCCAGCATCATACCAAAGTCACACTGGCTTGGTGACTGATTTCTGATCGATTAATCGACTTGTGCCATTCGGGTTAAATCTTGAATATCTACAGTTCATGTTCTCACCAAAATAAACTTTCATTGCCTTCTAAACATTCATAAAAGCCAAACCAAGTACATCAGCACATTGACTTTAATCCAATCCACCTTTATTGTCATTATTTTTACTCTCATTTCCACCCAAAGTCATCAAACCGATAACAGCCTCTACAAAAAAAAAACAAGCCCATGGTTATTGAACGGTGTTGATTTTATAGAAGCTTATTGGCTGCTATTGACAACAATTTTATGATTATCACATGACTATTGTGTAGCTTATAATAAAAGGTATTTTAAGGTGTTACAATTTCAGTGCCTTTTTGTTGGCCTTTGTTCGAATTTTGCAACAAAAGAAATGTTGTAAGGTCGTGTAGACATTCTAGTAAACAAAATTCTCTCAAAATAAGTCAATAAAGTAAGTTTCGATGTCAGATCAATGACCGGCATTAACAAACATTATTTCATCAATTCCGATTTCTCAAATGCTTTCTTAAAGGATCCGCTTATGATTAGACATAATGTTGTGATTAAATCACTTTGATTGTGATTATCTCAGCTGTGTTTAATTGATTTCATTTTTATTCATTAAAAAAATAAAAGAACTGACGGAAAAAAAAGAAAACGCCAGAGCAGCAGTGACTGTAAATTGTCGTAAATGCTTTTTGAGCTTCACGCTAAACTTTCACGAACAATTTTTTCTTCTTCTTATATTATGACTGTATTTACTTGCTATTTATATCTTTGATCGGTGCTGGAAGTTGGATGCGTACAACAGCATGCAAGAAACAAACAAGATTTATAGATCGAGATGTCGTGCTGTAGCTTTGCTCTTGTTATTGTTTCCAACATCCGCAAATGCCTCGTTGTCAATGTACTTGAGATAAAGATATACTGATGTATAAAGTATAATAGCCAGCACAAAGAACTGAATATATAGCACCAATATTTCAGCAATTTTCGACAATAGTTGACGAATCAAAGTCATTCAATCAGTTTTCTATCTTAAGCTATACAATACAGCACATTCACAAGTCTTTATTGTAAATTAAAGTGAATTTATTGCACAGCAATTCATGAGACAAGAGGTGAAATACTTTGTGTGACTCTCTCGCATAGATGTGAGAAAAAAAGCAACTTTTACTGAATTTTTTTTTTACTACTTCTTCTTCTTTTTCTCTTTCGTATGACTTGTGTCTTATATCTGCTGTATTTTTTGTTTCAATTGCAATTTGCTTGAAATTGAAAATATATAAAGTATGGTGGGAATCGTTCGAAAATGATGTTTTAATATTTTTAGGGGTCTGTTGCTTTACAGAGATGTAGCTGAGGTTGTTTGTCGTCCGGGCTAAGTCAAAAACTGGAGTTAAGGCTTGCTCAGAGACACTCTAAACCTCTTAAGACTGAAAAACGGAGGGGGGGGGGGGGGTCCTTAAAACTTTAATTCAACAAAAGACGTCATTTTCGAACAACCCTCCTTCTCTACATGTCTATGTATAAGTTGGTGTAGGCTTTATAAATGAAATTATTGATACACATATTTATTTTTTTTTTATGTCGCAGTTAAGCTGCATTCAATCGAGATTAAATGAAATCTCTGATAGCCTGTGTCTTATGTATTCATTGAGACTAGCTGTGAAGTGTCTTTTTCGATTGTACGAACCTAAATATTAAATTTACATATGGTCGATTACATAACCCATGTGGTAGTTCGGGTTTTTTTGTATGTTTCTCTATAGCTATAACTATAGATCTGTTGAGAAATATTGAAATTCACGAAAAAGAAGCAGTCGACTTATTTATTCACAAATAAAAAAGAGTAAGTTTCGTTTGGCATTCAATCGTTGATGTCGGGTGAATTTAATCTTCTTCTTGCCTTATTTTTGCTTTTGCCAAAAAAAATATCCAATTTCTTCTGTACTCCTGTCTGAATTGCACTTCTTCTTCTTCTTCCTTAATTGTCAATCAATAAAATCACAAACTTTTATTCTTCTTTTTTTCTTAAAATTGAATTTTAATTTTCACTTTTTTTCTAGCTTTTTCACTGCACTGCACTTTTTGCGAAATTTTTTCTCTCTATCTCACTCACTCTACAATTTTTTAATTAATCCAGTTTGTTGTGTAAAAAGCTCTTTTTAATCAAAACTGCATTCGCATGCATGTACATAAATATTCAGATGTGGTATGGTCAATATCCAACCAATACTACTATTGATAATTATATATATTTTTTAAATTAATTCACTTCTGTCTCGCGAATTTATTGCTATTTTTTCAAGGCACGTCTTAGCTCTACAACTGCTTCTCACTGACTGAATTTAACTTTTTTTTGTGTTTCTCTTTCCTTAAAAGAAATGAAAGAAAAACAAGTCTGAGTGAGAAGAAATAAAAAAAAAAAATGTTGAAGTTATTTTTTTGTTTTGTTTTTGCATGCTCCGAAAATTATGCTCGTGGTCAGCGGCTGTTGAGATTTTAGTCATTGGCGGATTCCATTGAGAGCATTTTGTGGAAGTTTTTGTGAAATTTTGTTCATTTTATTTTTTAATCCTTTTTGCATCAATCTGCTTTAACGTTTAATGGCATGCTAGCCTCACAAGTGATATTTGCGACCTTTTGACAAAAAATTCTTAAACTTGCATGGGTTGACCAAAAAAATTTTACTTATTGGGGTCGTTCACTTATGGCATCCGAGATTTAAGGGGGGGGGGGGGGGGGGGGGGAGATCCACTGAACTTTTATTTCAAATCTCACTCAGATGTAGACAAAAAAAATATTTAATAAATCTGTGAAAAGTATGGAAAGCAGTCATTTCCAACAAGAACAACTAGAAAAGAAACTGACAGTTGCAATATCTTCACCTTGGACAGGTCATACACAGAGTTTTCACTTTTAATAAGGTGCTTCACCGGAGCATGATAGCTTTTGCCTTTGTCCAGGCAGAACGAGGTAAAGGCATGCCTAGCCAAAGGCAGAAAAGTATGCTTTCATAAAGTTAAATCTAGATGTTGCTATAAAGGCAATGTCTAGGATAGATTTTTGCCTTTGTTGGGAAATTGATTGTTGACAAATCTGGTCCTAAATATGGAAGCTAGCCAAATTTCTTTTTAAGCAAGGACCAAAATGAATGAAAAAAATCTGTGATGAAAAACATTATAATTTTTTTCATTTACGTAAATTATTACGTAAAACTTCATCACGTAGGAATCATTTTTACGTAGGATTTCATCACGTAAAGCAAAAAATGGCGTATAAAATGTTTTTATGCAAGTTTTTTAAGCTAAACTAATCTATTCTATCTCTTGTTCTTATTATTCAGCTTTATGAATTGTGAAAGGGTCATTTTATTGCATTTTTTTGCTTTACGTGATGAAATCCTACGTAAAAATGATCCCTACGTGATGAAATTTTACGTAATAATTTACGTAAATGAAAAAAAATTATAATGTTTTTCATCATAGATTTTTTTCATTCATTTTAGTCCCTGTTATTAAGTAATTTACAATTCCCGAGAAGCATTTAAGAACACCTGTAAAAGTTGTTTCTCAAAAGAAAATGCCAATGCAAAAAAATAAACAACAGCTCCGATTAAGATTCTTTAACATAGGATTCGAACCACGACTTGCGAATACTAGTAATTTCTGCAATTAAACAAACTATTTAGATATTTATTTCTTTAAAGTTGAGTTGACTAAACGCTCACATAAATTATCATAAGCTTGCATGTTCATAATGTCAACAAGATCTACGGTATTCATTCTTTCAATTCAACATTAACAGTAAAGTGTCAATTTCGCTCAAAATTAAAATTCCAAAGAATGTTCACAAACTGTATTAAAATAGATTTAAAATTTATAGACCTGTCCTTTGTGTCTCATTGTCGCATATTAAGATCTTGAAGGTAAACAAGAACTGGCATTTCTTGGTGACTTAACTTTTTTCCTATTAACATACAAAAAAAGATTGTTCTTTGACTTTTAAAAATCACTTCATGTTTGTTACTTTGTAAAGTACAAGAATAATTTATTTGAATTATTTAATTAAGCTTATTAAAATTTGAGATTCAATGACTGACTCTCATTCTTGATGACTATAAAGCTGAGAATCATAAAAGCTTTGAATTTCAAGCTCAATTAAGTTTCACTATTGTAGCTTTAATTTATTTCCCCTAAAATTAATGCAATCCGCAATATGTGAAGCTTATGCTGCATGATTCATAAAAATAATTAACGATTCAAAGCTTCAATGTAATTTGAATCAAATTATCAAAATTATCTGATGCATATCTACATCTCCATGGATATATCGATTAATAAAAGATTTAAAATTGCATCTGAAAGGTGAAATATTGAATTAAAAAAATATTCACGAATTGATTTTTAAATATTTTTTCCATTTTATTTTCAATTTTTAAACAATTTTTTTTCTTTTCATTTTAAATTAAATTTACATAACTTGGTATTGGCTATGTTCAATGGTGAGTTAATTACCCAGCTTAACTTTTTTCTTGATTATTGATTCGATTTAAATGATGATTATAAAATAAAAATGAGTAGCTTATTGATTGAATAAATGAACAATGAGTGATAAGGAGATGAAATAACAATAAAAAGTAAGAAGAGTATGAAAATAAACCTTGTTGAGGTTCTCTTTTAAGTTGTTGATTGAAGGTTCTGGGAAGGAAATTTGATGATGAATTTATAGCGGAAATCAATGGGATTTTGAATTATTTTTAAAGATTTTTTTTTGACGTTTTACTGTTTTTGGAGAATTTTGAGTGCTTGCATCTTTAAATATGCTGATTAGTTGACATGAATCTAGTTAAAAAATGATTAGCTATTTGTTTTATTGATGATAATTTCTAAGTTTTAAAAAACCTTTAGGAAACCTTGCTCAGATTCTGCTATTCTTTAATTATTTCACTGATTTAGCAACCTTAATATTCTAGCTTCTCAAGCACATCCATTCGCTTGTCAAATCTCAAAAGTAATATTCTTAATTATTCATAATTTTTTATGCATTCACATTAATAATTAATGGACACATTTAGCTTAATGAGAATTAAATCACAATCCACAGCCAAAAAAATCATGTCACTTTTCTCACAATAATAAATATTAATCAAGTAATCTGACAGTGAGACACGACCTTTTGCTCTAAATAGCTCAAAGCCGAAAAAAGATTTAATTCAATCATAAAGTCTCAACAACTTTAGGTCAATTATAAACCATGAGACAGTAAACAATTTATTCTATTATTTACCTATTTAAAATGCAAGTACGTCTACGAATCGTCGCGAACGGAAGTGCACATTTCTTTTCTGTAGCTGAACGGAAATGTCAGCAAATTTTTTTCTATTAATTTAGTTTTAAGAAGCATTTTTGAATATTTTAAGACCATTAAAACAATTTCATTGTTAATGCACAACTTTTTAAGTAATTTGATCACTTGCTGTTATGTTTTCCTAACAGATCACAAGATTATTACATTGAATATGACCTTTGCATTTAAATACAATTTTTCACAAGTTTAATTTGCTTAATTCCAAGCGTCTGTATGATTTTCAATTAATTTTTGATGAGGAACTAATTGATGATTACAAGAATTTTTGAGTGAATCTTCATTTGGGAAGTAATAATTTCAATCAATTATGGCTTATTGGTAATAATTAATGAAGATTCGTTAAATGACAGGCGCAAAAGTCGTGAGGAAGCAATTGACAAAATTTAAGTTTCAATATCTGAATCTTGAGGTTTGTTAATGGATTTTAGGATGAAATCTATGCGAAACCTTGTAATGATTTTGAAATATTTCCAATCAGCTTGTAAATTTGTTTGTTTTGCTTAATTTCCTGTGGTTAAAGCAGGTAGGTTTTAGTGATTAATAATTTTGAGGATGAAAAATTGGGAAATCAAATTTAATTTTTGGGTTAAGTTTGAATATTTTTTGGGATTCAACCTTCTTTTGTTGATTTGATGTTTGAAATTTAAAAGTGAAGCTAATTTAGAGGTTTTTGAAAAACTTTAAGAAGCATTTGTGAATCTTTAAATTGATTATTTTCAAGGACAATCAGAAAATCAAAAATTTTACTTTAATCGAATATTAACAAACCCAAATCAACAAAGAGATTGATATGTGCTTTATAATACTAGGATTATCAAGCTCTGATCTAGATCTTTATCGATTACGGAAAACGATCAAAAATGACCAAGATAGATCAATCAGTTCTGAATGTTTTGATTGTCAAAAGAACAACCTCATTATTGATCATCTATATCGTAGATTCTTTGAGAATTACCTCCATAGCACCTTATAATTAAGAAAACAAACGTAAAAATCTTAAGAAGCTAGTTTGATTCCTAATCTAGACAAATTTGTTAAGACAACTTAGATTAAATTGGATTAAAAAAGTAAAATTCATAGATTTTGAGTTAATTTTACACCAAATTAGCACAATCAATTTCAAACATTCTTTAATGAGTGTTTTAATCTCCAGCATGTAAAATCTCCTAAACTTTATGATTTCAGAAACATATTTTGTCACAAATTCTCAATTTTAAATCCATAACAAAATCTTCAACCCACAACTTCATGAGAATAACTTCATCAAGGGCAAGGATTGCATCAATTCCTATCCTTGATAATAAATTAAATAATAAAAACTTATATCACAATGGAACTCATTCAGATGAGGTTTCATTTTGTCTTATTTCTTTCTTTCGTTGATGAAACAAAAAGTACAGCACATAAATAATAAAGTGGACTTAAAACAGAGTGTTAAGAATTATATAGGATTTCCGTCAGCATCCTTATAAAGCTCCTCATTATTTATGTATTGATCCTCAGCTTGTGAGCAATCCACGTTGAAGAACCAGTCGCATACTCGATATGCCTGTTAATGAGAATCAAAAATGAAAATCATTAAAGGAATTTGAAAGGGATAAATAAAAAATTAATTAATTTGCCTGATTAAAAACAGTTCCATTGGGACAAAGGAATGAATATTGATGTCCTGAATGCACACACCAATGCCACACTTGACATCTCGTTTCCATATCAGCATAATATCCTGTGATATTAAATTTATTTAATTCATTTTGGTTGATTAAGATAAATTTCAAATTTACCAGGAAGTCTATTTTGGCATGAGAATGTGCCACCAACAGGCACTTCTGAATAATTTGGATAATCAATTCCAGCTGTGTAACCGGCGATTTGCTAATCGAGAATGGATAAAATAAAATTCATTTATTGACCCAGAAAAAAACACAGCATTTTCACACTTGCAGCTAATCATCATCACATTTTATTATGTTCAATTAAAACGGGGGCACTGAATAATCATAATGCACAAAAGATTTATCTCACAGTCACTTCTGTTTTATTTTCAATTTTTTCACTTCCATTATTTTTTTAAGCGCCAAAATGTGAATTAGATGATTACACAAGAATAGTCATTGGTGCCCTCGAATTGAGTAGTTTTATTCGCAGATTCTTTTGCAAACATGTTGCATGCTGCTGTCTGATGTTATGATTTACTTAATTTGCATTAAACTTTGCGGATTTTCTCATATTCATGAGTACGGAATTGTTTATTATGAATATGCAAAAGATACTTACGCCGCTAACGATTATGGTGAACATGTAAAGTCCCAATGTGATTTGGAGAAGGCACACGAGTTTCCACATTTTTTTTTTGAATAATTTATTAAGCTTTTATAGTCACTAAAAGGATTGATTAATTGGGTTACTGGATATTAAGATTATTTCTCTGGATTTTTCAGTTTTTCTTGACTTTTTAATAATTTTTCGTCCACAACTTTTTAGTAATCACTTCCAATTGAATTCACTTCCTGCTTTGTCAACTTATTAAATCATATTATTTTTGTATATCCAATTTTAAATTCACAATTCACGCACGTACGTAACAATATCTTTACCTCAAAGCATCTGGCGTTTAAATAAAATCTCAGCAAAATTGAATCATATATTTATATTTTTTTTGCAGCAGCAGTACAGCAACGCGTAGATTGTTGTTGCTCATCGCAAGCCCCACCAAAATTGCCTTTTCTTCTCAATTTTTATTTTTCGTGTTGTTTTGGATGGAAAAATCTCATAATACTGGAAAGAATATTTTTTTTCTCGTTGCAGAAGTGCCAAAAAATAATTTTAAGGCAAATAAGATTCCGATGTCATTCAATGTTGCTTTATTATGAGTCTTAAGTGAATATGAATAATTGGATTTAGGCCTATGCCACGATTTCATGTGGTTATGTATGCTCATCAATAAAGATGAAGAAGACTAGAGATGAATGAAGACTCTTAGTATATGATGCAATGCGCTTTTATTTTCTTCATCTCTCATTGTCTTCAAAATTGAGCTTTTTTGGAAATGGTGATACATTAAACTTAATTTTTATGAGATCGGAGCTGTGAAAAGAAATTGTCGAACGCGTTGATGCAATAATGACTGTCTTATTAGGCTTTAAATAAATTGGAGCTATTTTTTTGAGATTAAATCTTGAAACTTTATTTCATTCTTCCTGTGAGATTCAAAAATTTTAATTCTCTTCAAAGTTATGGATATGAAATCCCATATGGACATCCATGTGAACACCGGTTCCATTTGGTTACTATCCCGAATGGCACAAGTCGGTTAATCGATCAGAAATCTTATGCCTGAGCTATGACAGCTTGGCACCGGTTCTCTATTCTTTTAACCGATTTTTGCTATTCGGGCATATGGAAGCTATATGGAGCCGGTTTTCACATGGATGTCCATTTGGTGTTAATATATCACTCCGTGGCAGAACCTTCACGTTCCACATTTTTTAATTGTGCCGCTCGGGAATGATTATGAAGGAAAGATGAAGTTTGAGAATATTTTTAAATGCTCACATGCTTACTTCCTGTTTTGGTGAGAATGTGTTTTAATGCTCCAGTGATAATACTTTTTTTGGAAATATAAAACAACAATAAGCTACAAAAACTGTGAAAATCAACACTACATATTAAATTTTGAACTATTCAGCCTAGCAGAACTCTGGTTATTTATTCGAGTTTTGCTAAGTTCTAGAATCTAAATGAAAAGACTTTAAAACTCATAACAATTCGAGGTATGCATGCCTCAATATGGATTAATGGCATCTGTGTTTTTATAATGCAAAATGCTGGCCTTTCAAGCTAAAGATTCTGGGTTTAAAATCGGGTCAGCATTAGTTCAACTAAAATTGTTCATATGTGTTGCACTGATCCTCAAAAAGAATTTTAATCTAGTCGTAAGGATGATGTTGATTTTTGTCACTAGAATAGAATAGAATGTAATGTAGGGTTTTGCTGATAGCAAAAGCGGCACTGCGATCGATGATCTGTTGTACCATCCCAAGTCCCCTATGCTAGAATTCCAATGTCCTTAATAAAGCCAATAATGTCCTGATAATGCTGCTTATTTATATCCTCATCAATCAAATAGTCCTCATCAAAATGCTTGACACGTTGTCCTCGTTTTGTCACTAAGTTTGATTGCTTTAACGAGCATGAAATCAAAGTTTTTGGTAAAGAATGTGTCGATTTAAAAACAAGGATATATTAATGACTGAATGACGTCCTCACAGTATGATGTATACCTAAACTGCATGAAATTTTGAACACATCACTCAATACCAAGGTGTTGAGACTTCTGGCAGATCACAATACTTGAACCATCCATGAATTCATCAACTCAACATGAACTCATCTTCATGTTTCTTGAGGTCTATGTTAAGCTCATTTAACCATAAAATCATAATCTAAACTTAAACTATAAATATTTTTTGGGTTCAAGTAATTCCAAGCAACATTTAAAAACCAAAATAAAGTAAGTAGACTTTCGTCATTTCCATTAATTCTGCCTTTTTTTTAATTTCTTTTGTTTATAGACATCGGCAACAGATAGAAAATTGAGTAAATCCATTTCCTTTAAAGATGACCATCGAAATGGAACAGCATAAAGGTGGGTTGGAATTTGAAAAAATTAAAATATGTGAACGAGATCTTGCATACATAAAATTTTGATTTTTCAGACCTTTGCGTGAAATAAAAAAATAATATCCACATCGAGCAACAATCTTTTTTGCTTAAGCTTTACGAAACGTTTTTCCATTCTTCTCGTACATTTTAATACAATAATCTTTTTTTCCGTTTTAATTATTTCTGATTCTCGATTGCTAATAGGTAATGATGATGAAAAGGGCAAGTAATTAAATCATTATGCAAACTGCCTTCTTCTCTTTTCAATGAACGGTGCTTGATTGAATTTTTTTTTTGCATTATTTCATGCACATTTTCACTTAGAATCTTTTTTTCATAGTTCGCGCGCGCGAAACAACAAAACATGAAAAATCACGCACTGAAAGGTCGTGAGAAAGAAACACAAAAATTAAAATTGTGAAGAAATAAAATTGAAATTAAACTAAGCGAAGCTATTAACTGGAAGCGGTAGGAATAAATTAAATTAGGTCTGTAATGTAATTCTAACTCATTCATAAAAAAAATATGAAGATTCTGATGAACATTTTAATTTTTAAATGTATAAATATGAAATCGTTTCCAACATTAATCTTCACTGAATGAGTGACTTTGACATTGCGATGTTAGTTCAGTGAAATACAAGCTTTTACTTTTTATTCTGTAACTTGAATTAAATATTCTCATTTTGCATTTCAAAGTGTTCCTGGAGCTTCATGATGTTCTGGATGAGATATTAATATGAAGATTGCTGGATGTGAGAGTCATTAGAGCAACTCACTATAGAGCAGTTAAGAAGGGAATTGGATTCAAATTGATTTGATCGGTTCGAATCCTAGTTTTGTCAAATTATAAATTAATAATGTTCAGGATCAAGGGAATTAAGGAGATTCGATTAATCTCAAACCAATTAATATAAGTCTGGAACAAGAATTGACTAAATTTTTGGAGTTCCAGGGTCGTAGCCATGATCTTTTGGTGCTTTTTAATCCAAGCCCACGTAACCAAAGTATTCCACACATTTTCCATTGACATAGATGGAATATTTATGTACTTTCCCCAAAACAGTACATAATGTATCATTTATGTATTACATACATGAAATATCCATGTATAGTCCATGAGTAATACATCTATGTAGCACTTTAAAAATTTTGCCATTCAGACAATTAAGAACAATTTTTTGCAGCATTTTATTTTTTTAAGTTATTTGTTTACATTATGAAAAATGTGTTTTCAAAATTGTTGTGAAGTGAAAATTAAATTTAAAAGTACAATATAGATGCGTAAATAATTAAAAGGAGCAAGAAATATTGTTTGGTGAGTAATTATAGGGAATGTAGTAGAACATCGATTATTAAGGTAAGAAAAAAATATTAATATTTAAAGTGTAAAGTGTCTACGATGTTTTAAACATCTATTATTTTAATCATCTTTCTTGTTTCTTTTCTTCTTTTCTGTCTATTTTTAGGTATAATATAGTAAAAATTTACAATTTTTCAGGAAGTTAATAATATTTTGAGTTACAGTGATAAGTTTTTTCTAAGTGTAAATTGGCCTCTTTGATTTTTAAGAGTTTAAAATTATATTAATTTTTAATAAATTAAGAGTTTAACATAAATCAGTTAAACTTTAATCATTAATATGTGCATTAATTAATAAAAATCCAGCATTTTTTATTTCAGGCGTTTCAATCCATTTATATTACACAAAATAGTACAAATGCATTACATCAATGCACTATACATGTGTAGTACACAAAATCGTACAAATGTATTACATCAATGTACTATACATGTAAATTACACAAAATCGTCCATGAAATCATCCATCTCCATAGGACAATATCGTTCCATGTATCATCCATGGATGATACGCATGGACTATACATGGAATAAAATCGCGTAATACATGTATCGTCCATCTATGGGATTTTGGTTACGTGGGAGAAGTATTGATTTTGACTCTAGGCCACGTCTCTAGCTACTAGCTACTCTAGTTGTAAACTAAAGAGTGCAATAATGCATCATTAATATCTACCTACAATTTAACAACCCTTTGAATCTCTTTTTGCACCTCTTCAAATCCTTAATTCCACTCAAACTTTCATAAAGTTCTCTGGCACATAATATTTACATCAAAGTTTGTTAGCTCATGACTAGCAAATGCAAAAAAAAATCATCAGCATGCACTTCATCATAAAAAAATATATTTTCACATTTTCATTTACATTTACTAATTTATGGATGTGCGGTATGCAATGTTTGTCCTTTATTCATATTTTACTATGAAAAGAATATTTGATATTTACTGCAGATATATGAGTCATGAGTCTGTCTAACTTTGTCGTTGTCTAAAACATGTTTGAGTTATGAATATTTTAGATTCTATATTTGGAGTAAAATTGCATGAAATTGGCTGTTGATGCCACATGAGATATCACAGTCTAATCTAATTTCGGTTGACTATAAAAAGTTTGTGGATGTTATGCATTATTTTGCAATTCAGATAATTTTTTTTGGGGAGATGATAAAAATAAATAGTAATTTAAAACTTAATTTAGAATTTGATGTTGATGATGTAATGTAGATTATATGATGTATGCTTTTGAATGAAGCTGACTAGAGTTTACTTATAATTTGCATGTCAGCAACTTGTGCAGTTGGATTTGGTTTGGGATATAA